AAGCGTATCTAATGTGATTTGATACATTAAGAATCCATTCATTTTTTCAATTTGTATATCCTTGTACATTTAGTATTTTGTAGTAATGTACTAATGTATTAATATTTTTTTATTAGGCTCTTATTTTTGGGCATGTAATACTTTGTGTTTTTATGTTTTGAAGTAATATTTATGTGACAATGTGGTATGTTGATACTAATTGAGTATAATGTTTTTTATTTAATTATTTATTGAAGTAAAATATATTTCTTCTTAACGGGTGACAAATCGGTTCATATTACTTGTTAATTTTAATAGGTCAAGTTCGAGTTGGGCCATATTACACAACATGATCTGTTAAGATACGAATATGTCACGAAAACGACACGAATATGGTAACGCACAATATAATCGCCATATCTAGTTGGGCTGATGCCTGGTGCGATGCCCTTTTATTATTATTATTTTTTTGTTTTCTTTAGAAAGTCTTTTGAATATTTTTGGCTATTTTTATGCAAGAAATTTTTAGAATATCTTTCTCTGAATGCAAGAGCAATGAGTATCCTCCACCTAATTGGTCGTTGGTCGAACTTCTTTTCTGTTGTTGAATAAAGAGATTTTTGTCTCCTTCCTATTGCTTGATTACTCAAATATTTTGGAAACTGTCTTTTATTATGTCGTTTGTCTTCCACTTAGTATGACTCATTAATCGACTTGTCATCTTGTAATGAGCTCAAAACTGTTGGGAGGACATATTGTAGGCGAATGCTATGCGTGACAACGTTGACTCAACTTGGCCTGTCGTAGACTCATTTTGCCGATGGCCCATGTCTGTGTCTATCTGTGGGACACTTGTCTTGGCATAATTGATCAACATTTTTTGGCACAACTCGTTATGAACATGTCATGCCAATGGATTTTGTCGATATCTGGTAGCAGTGAGCAGGGTAAGGCACACTTTTTCGCATTAATTGGCATTCAACCTACTATACACTGGCAATGGTGGCATGTTGTGTGGCCTATTGTCGGGAGTCAGTCTACACATGTTTTCGCCTTTTATTAGCTTTTAAAGGTGTAAACTCTTGAGTTTTGTCGAATGAGATGGTTGAGCATGCGAGATGAATTTCCTTTTGCCCTCGAACTTCCTGAGATTGCTATGGGAAGTTATGATCAACGTCAACTTGAACTCTTAAAGTGGGTCATGCAAAGTTAAGTTTAGTTCCAGCACTTCTAGAGCTAGTCCTAAGTGAAGATTAATTTTGACTTGAGCTTTTAGAGTGGATCATGCCAAGATAAGTCATATCTCGAGCTTCTAGAACGGGTCATTAGAAGAAAGGTTAAAATTAGCAGAGCACTTTTAGAACGAGTCATTGAACGTGAAAACTAGTTATAACTTAAACCCTTAAATCAAGTCATGCGAGGCCAAATCTTAGATAGGGTTTCTAGAGCGGATCATTAGAAGCAAGGGTTTCTATATTAGATGCCTAAAGCAAAACATGTAGAGACGAGTTTTGAGAGGCTGATTGTTAACTTATGCTCCTAGGCCGGACCATACGGAAGAGAGTTTCTAGTTGGGCTGAATAGCATTAACTTGTGCTCTTATGACAAACCATGTAAATGAAGTTTTAGCTTATAACTTGCTTGTTAGGCGGACTAGTGTCTAGCACTTCTAGAGCTAATATTTGGAAATGCATACTAGTTTCGATTTAGGCACTTAAAGCAGATCATGTAAAACCAAATCATACCTCGAGATTCTAGAGATAATATTTGAAAATGAGGGATTAGATCTTGTATCCTAGGGCAAACCATGCGGACTTGAGATGAAGTTGGTCGATCGGCGTTAACTCATGCTCATAAGGTAGACCATGATGATAAGGGTAATAGCTTACACTTCTTGAGCACATCATTGGAAGTATTGACCATTGATTTGTGGATTTTTACCTCAGTTAGGCATCCTTATAGTGTATCAGGCACCAATGACATGTTCTCAAATGTCTTTGAGCAGTAGTAAAAATAAGTTGTCATATGTGTAGTCTGGCTTGCTGAGTTTTCTTACCACCTTGAGTGTTACTGTGTGGCTATCGATAGCTTGAAACAGACTTTACACAGGTGTTGGCAGATAATAATATCAAAATAAAGATAGATTTTGCCTTAGTCTTAGGTGTGCTTTACGGCAACAGACTGCCTATGCATATTTCTTTCTCAAGTTGGAGGTGTTCCACAGTCATGGGATGATGCCATTCATGGTAGTTAGGGTGTAATTCTCATTTTCACCAACTCAATCTATGATGTAGTATCCTTCTATGATGCCTTTAGCTTTCAGGATCCTTCTCCCCTTACGGTCTAGTAAACTTTCCTTAGAACTATGTCTCAAATTAAGAAATATATAGGCTAAACCTTTTTTTGATAGTAGGATTCGTAAGACAGTCTTGTCACGGTTTTCTTCTAAGGGATCATTGTTGGTTGCCATTTCTCATGCATTTTGCTCCAAGTTTGACATATTGGTAGACGGAAAAGAGACTAGGATGTGAGAAGGCATAATAGCGACCATTTCGTAAGCAAGGGAGAACAATGACCCAAGTGGTCTTCCTCTGGTGGTGTGCTATGCCCATAACACTCAGGGAAATTCTTTGACCCATTTTCCTTTCTCATGGTGTAGCCTATTTTTTAGGTTATCTAGAATGGTCTTGTTGAAAGCTTTGACTTGCTCACTTCCTTAAGGATATTGAGGGGTTAACATTTGCTTTCGTATGCCATATCTTTTGCATAACTCATTAAATCTTGCATCGACAAAATGGGGCCCATTACTGCTAATGATAATATGTTGGATTACAAAATGACAAATTATGTTTTTCTATAAGAATTTCTTGATAGCCACCTATGTGGTAGAGGTGATTGGCTTAGCCTCTACCCATTTAGTGAAGTAGTATGTGGTTACAATAAGCATGGTGGTTTTCTTAATTCCTATCTCTAGTGGCCAACTAGAGCAATGGCCCATTGCAGAAAGGCTAAGGGCTGAACTACGAATGAAGCTTGTCAACTGGTGCGTTTTTGAAGGGCTTGAAATGCTGGCACTTGTCACATTGCTTGGCTAAGTTTTCATCATCTTGGCAAGGGGTAAGCTAGCAATAGTCTGCGAGTTGGGCCTTGTAGGTGAGTGATATGCCCTTAGTGTGGTTACCACAATTGGCCTCGTGTATGACACTCGTGATGCTAGGATCTAAGGGTAGGGGATGAAATTCAAGTCAAGGCTAGTGAATCCTTGACGGTGTAGGGCACCGCCATTCATGTAAAAGCAGGCTGCTTTGTGTTGTAGTTTGCGAGCTTCCAACTTTTCTTAAGGAAGAGTCTTGTTCATGAGATAGCCGATGATAAGGTCTTAACAGCTATGCGAAGTGTCAATCTGCGTTACTTTGGGTTGAACCTCGTCAACGCTAGGTCGTTTGAGGTGTTCGACATGGATTGAGCTTCAGAATTGGTGGTTCATGGTATATTTGAGGTTGGCAAGGGCATCAACATGAGATTTTTCTGCTCAGGAAACTTGTGTTATAGTGTAGACTGGAAAGGCTTTGAAGAGCTTTGAACGGTTTTCAAGTATTGGATCACCCTTGAGTGCTTTGTCATGTCTTGTTTGGATGCCTAATTGGTGGTTAGCAGAGAATCAGAATGGATGGATAGCTTTTTGGCTGATAATTCATTTGCTAGATGTGGGGCAGCAAGTAGTGCTTTTATATATGCCCTTAGTGTGGTTACCAAAATTGGCCTCGTGTATGACACTCGTGATGGCTAGGATCTTAGGGTAGGGGATGAAATTCAAGTCAAGGCTAGTGAATCCTTGACGGTGTAGGGCACTGCCATTCATGTAAAAGCAGGCTGCTTTGTGTTGTAGTTTGCGAGCTTCCAACTTTTCTTAAGGAAAAGTCTCGTTCATGAGATAGTCGATGATAAGGTCTTAACAGCCACGCGAAATGTCAATCTGCGTTACTTTGGGTTGAACCTCGTCAATGCTAGGTCGTTCGAGGTGTTCGACATGGATTGAGCTTCGGAATTGGTGGTTCATGGTCTATCTGAGGTTGGCAAGGGCATCAACATGAGATTTTTCTGCTCAGGAAACTTGTGTTATAGTGTAGACTGGAAAGGCTTTGAAGAGCTTTGAACTGTTTTCAAGTATTGGATCACCCTTGAGTGCTTTGTCATGTATTGTCTGGATGCCTAATTGGTGGTTAGCAGAGAATCAGAATGGATAGACAGCTTTTTGGCTGATAATTCATTTGCTAGCTGTGGGCCAGCAAGTAGTGCTTTTATATTTTGCCTCGTTTTTTAAGGCCTTGAATCCAAGCGAGGGTTACTGTTCAAGCATAGATCCATCAAGGGTTATCAGTACAAGTCCTTCACTTGTGCCTTTATGGTTAAAAGATTCATATGCATGCAAGTGCTACATGTCATGCAAGCGATCTGCTTGGTTGAGATTGCCAACTTGGGATCCTTGAGTTGTGCATGCATTGGTCGCAGGTTGACCAACCAGAGTTGGCTGGTCATTTATTCCAAAAAGAGGTGAACTCCACAATAAAGTCTACCACGACTCGAGCCTTGATAGAGTTTGGTGCCAGTTGATCATTGCACATTGACTAAGAACAAAATTAAATAAGGTGGTGTAGGACATAAAAAGTGTTTGTAATCATTTCCTTTTCAGATGACAATAGTGAGAGTAATACATGATCATACGAGCAAACTACATATACTAACCAAGACAAGTTAATCTTTCTTGCAATCGTCTCACTTTGAAATTCCTTAATAACTTGTACAAACATTACGTTGTTGAAAATTGATAATTTCGATCAAGTGGAATGTGGAATGTAAATTCATAAAAACTTTAAAGCAAGAATCCAAAGTGGGAAAAAGAACGATTTTTGTCAATCGTTTTCTTTCCCTTGTGTCTGTGCAAAGATATTCCTTATTCGGTGTGGGCTGCGGCGAAGCAAGTTGCAGGATCAACGAAATAGAAACTTGTCCAAACAAAATATCAACGGAAAATACAAATCCACTTTATTAATTTCTAATCATTTTATTAGATGCTTAATGAATATTTAATCATTAGTAAAACAGTACACCTTCAAACGTGACTCAAAACCCTCCCCCTTTGATTTTCCGTACACCTCTCTCTTCCCCCCCGCTCTCTCTCTCTCTCCATTTTTTCAGTACATCACTTTGCCTAGAGCTCCCTTCAGTCTTCAATTCTTGTATATTCACATGTAAAATAATTTGAATTTGTAAATTCTCTCTCCCTCTCTCTCTTTCTCTCTCTCTCTCTCTCTCTCTCTCTCTCTCTCTCTCTCATTTATCCGTACTCTGTTTTTCTGGTTTTCAATATACGCATATATTCTATCTGGGTTTTCGATATTTCGTGGAGGGGGACAACGAAATTGGCGGGAACCAACGGCCGAATTACGTGATTCTGAGAACTGGGTTTTGCTCAGATTCGCCATAAAAATTGAAAGTTTGTTCACTTTTCTTTGAATTTTGAGGAAAAGTTTAAGAATTATTCATGGCGAACCCATCTGGGAACCACCAAGAACCTAGCCACGCTTCGTCCACCTTCAACGGCACCAACCCGAGTAACGGAAACTCCGTGCCGGTGTCGGCTCCGGAGAGTTCCGGCACCGCCATGGCCATGAAACATAACCCGGGTATTTCTATGGATTGGAGCGCAGAGGAGCAGGCAATTCTTGAAGATGGGCTCACCAAGTAAGTTGTGAATTTGGGGATTTTTGTTTTTTTTGACTCTTTGAGGTTCTTGTAGTGTGTATACTCAGCTTGGATTTTAAAGTTTCTTTTGAATTTTAGGTGAATTGTAGTCATTTTTTGGGCGCTTGATTGAATTGGGAAATTGCCTGAAGTTTGAGCTTTTCTATTCTTATAAATTAAATTTTCAGTCTTAAAGTATAATATTTTTCTTTTTTTGTGGGCGACTGTTTGCTTGTACGAGTTTATAAAAAGTTTTATTTATTTACAATTCTTTGATATTTAGATTATAGGAATTACAGGTATTATGGTATTTAATGAAAATTATGGAATGTGAAGCCTTCAGATAGCCTGCAATATATAGTTTGGAGGAAGATTCATGAAATATAATGCATGTATGACTTAAGAATGCTGTAGAGTGCCATAACCAGATTCTAAGTAGCATATAAAGAATTTAACCTGGTCAATAATTATGCAATGCTAAGTGAATTTATGCCAGGATGTGTGGCAGCGTACTTGCAAAGCTGTTTGGTAATCTTCAGTTTGAGTACTTGAAGGAAATCAAAACGAAGCTTTTATGCAGAGTCTAGCTATCTAGGGTTTCTTTTTATTTTTCCATTCTGACATACATGTCAAGTAAGAAACGTTGCTGGAAAATTTCAGTTAAGTGACAGAGTAGAAGTTAGGATATCATATGCACATGCCAGATACATACATACGTTCATCTGTCTAACACCTATAGTTGGTCGTTTGATGTCTTTCCTTATTTATTGATGATCATGTAATTTGAGCGCACTATTCTGTTGGAGTTTTATACATTCAAATTGGTTTTGGATGTGTTGGAATGATGAATTTGAAATTGACCAATTGCTTGTTTGGTAGCTTGAGAAATATGTTTCATTTGCTCGTTATTTGGGTCTCATGTCCTAAATGATCAGTTGTTCAAATAATTCCAGTTATCTAGGAGTTTTTGTTTGTGATATGTAGTAGGGTAGTACTGAAGCAAGATATTTCGTTATTGGTATGGTGTGCTTGTTAGGAATTGGGATTTGAGTCTGAAAAATGTAGCTTTCTGGAGACCAAAGCCAAAGTTTTACCACCATACATACAACTTTGCTGCTATTCTTGTTTCTTTTTTTATTACATTTTGTTGATTCCCTGTTTTGGTGCATATTGCTCCTTGATTGTCATTGTTTTGTAAGGTTGTGTACTCCCAATACTTTCAAAGGAAGTTTCTTACAAAAAGTAAAAACCCAAATCAGAGAAAAGATGCACCTCACCATATGCACGAAAAATGAGTAAAATATATGCTGAAAACTGATGTAAGTCATGTCAGTTTCTCCAGACAAAGAGAGAAAAGCGAAAACCAACATCTAAGTTGCTGTCCATATGATGATGGTTGTTTACACTTTACAAAACCTTCATATTGTGATGTGGAATTTAGTTTTCATGTATTTTTTTTCCTCCTTATTCCTGTTCATTTATTAGGGTATCTAGTTATATTGCCTTGTATTTTCTCTCACAGATATCCAACAGAATCAAACGTAATCCGGTATGCAAAGATAGCCATGCAGCTGCAGAATAAGACTGTCCGAGATGTGGCTTTACGTTGCAGATGGATGACTGTAAGCTTTATTACCTTTATTTCCTGCCCTTTGCTCTTGAAGACTTCAAATGTGTGTGGGTTTGGGCTTATAGGTTTTACTCATGTTGATATAACTGTTAAGTACCATATTTGGTTTGGAAGTTTGAAAACATGTGAATAGCCTAGTGAAATTATTTGTTAACATTACATTTGAAATTTGCGTAAATAAGACATACAATACTTACTCTCTTGGTCAATATGTTTGTGACATAAGGCCTTTCTTGAGCCTTTGTGCATGGAGTGGCTGCTCTCAAGTTGTATGGTAGACTGCTAGTTGTTGAAGCTTATCCTCTTACCATTTCGGAAAGTACTATCCCTATTATATCTACTGTGACTTGTGAGACGTATTGATACGTGTAGCTTTTAGGTATAAACTAGTAAAATAATGCAAATACATCATGTTACTGAAGCTAGTATCTGTTTGAAATATTCTTTACTATCTTTAATCTGTACTTTTTTTTTTTTGGGTAGAACTTTGAAACTATATTTTGATTGTTTTCATGGTTCACTTACTTCCCAGAAAAAGGAAATCAGCAAGAGAAGGAAGGAAGACCATAACTTAACAAGGAAAAGCAAGGATAAAAAGGTAAGATCTGTACTCTCACCCTTTGCATCCTATAACACTTGGCCTGAGGCTCATGCGCATTAAAATAGGGGTTGATTATGCTCTTCTTTTTTTGCTTATTGGTTTGTCTATAATACATATCTGTTTCTGTAAAGTTGTGTGAAATATTCTAATTTGTCATGTCCCTGTGACAGAATGTTTATCATTTATTCACATTAATTCCCTATCAGTTAGTTTCTTTACTTGTAAATTTGTGCAAATCACTTAATAAGCCTTGTGGTGCGTTTGGATGAGGGACTTCAAGGTCCTATGGAACTTAGGCTAAATTTGTTGGGGGACTACAGAAATTAGATAGACGGACTTGAACTGACTATGCACTACATTTGGGAGAACTCTCAAATGGCATAACACCTTGAAAGGTCTTATTTGAAATTCCTTTGTGTAATGTCATTGCAGTGCATTTTAGTGTTTTAGTAGCAGCTTTGTAGCGCTTGAGTAGTTCATTGGTAGTGTTTTTATAGTGCATTCTTAACAATCGAGTCTAAAGCTTGTTGGTACTTTAAAGTTTCTCGTCCCTCATCCAAACATAGGATTAAAGCATTTTGGATTTAATCTCTCTAACTCTCTCTCTCTCTCTCTGTCTCTCTGGTGATTCCAATCCTATTTACTACATTTCATTAATGGTATGCTGAAGTGGTGATATACATCATTCTTGCATCTAGAAAGCCATGTTTAGTAGCTCTTCTGAGGTTATGGTGATCTTGGAATTTTTTTATCTGATTTCAAGCCTCTAACAATTTTAGCTTGATAGTGGAGGACTGGTCTATCGCCTATGTTTTATAGCGGTACCAGTCCTTATCCATTTCTCCAGTAAAGTATCAAATGTTGCCCAATTACAGTTTTGAATCTAAGCTTCTTTTATGCTTTTTGTTCCTTCTTAGGAGCACAAAAGTTATTAATTGCTGTGTAAGTTTGAGAAATCTTGTTGGTTTGCTACTGTTCCTCAAATTAAACTATAGGTATGCTGGCTAACAATTATTTTATAATCTAACGATGCCTTCATTTGTTCCTCTTTCCGCCGCTAGAGAGCCTAGCATAGTGAATTAAAATGAATGCGGAAATTGTAGTTGGAGAGTTTTGAGCTCAGGATCTGGTGATACCATGTTAAGTTGTGGATTGCGAGAATAGGGTTACCTGTGAATAGAAGGAGAAGAGATGGGGAGAGAATAGGATTGGGGTTAATCAGCAGCTTAGCTCTGGAACTGTATTTGTACATCATATGTAGTGCTTCTACATGAAGCATTTTATTCAGTACCTCACTTTTGTTAATAATACATAGAACTGGTAGTCTTTATGAAATAGAGCCTGTTCGTTAGGTATTGTTTGTGAGCACTCAGTTCTTGTCATGGTTTCTGCCTGTTTCAAGCAAACACTATAATATTGTTTTGGTTTGCTAAAAACATCTCCAAACATTCATATTCAATCAGCAATCAGCACAAAAGGGGAAAGACATCAAATACCATGAAATGAGTTATTACAATAATCCCTAATGTTGCATAAATATAAGAACAATATTGTAACAACGCTAACAAAGCCCAAAGAACAAGATTGCAACAACGCTAACAAAGCCCAAATTTTGCTAATTGATACACAAGTCTGATAGATCAAGAGATAAATTTTTTTGTTTTCTTTACTTGCATATATAAGCAAATGGAAGACTGATAAAATGACACTCTTTTATTAGCAATCTACTTATGAAATCAAGTTAAAATTGAGATTGTACAGATACACAGATAATTTACTATATTTCTATAGAGGAAGAAAGCAGATGCAAAACATTTTGCAATGTCCTAGCAATATCTAGAAAAACTACAAACTTACACGGCCAGATAAAATGAATTTCAAAACATTTTTGGATCTCATTCTAAAATTGATAAACAGGATTTCGGAACTTTTTTGCAGCAGTTGTGCTTTTAGATTTTTAATTGCCTCATAACCCATTTCAAACAATTACTCAGTGCTCTGTAAACTTAACAATAGGAACGTAGTGTTTCTCCAGCCTAAGTATTGTATTTCTTTGTGCTCTCACTCCATAAGAAAAAGTGAGGAGCTGTGAGAAGTCTTTCTTCTTCATCTTGTTTTGGTCGTGGATTATCCCTAATTCGTGCTTTGTTAAACATGACATTGCATATATTATGTTGCATCATTTCCCTGTAATTAAAGTTTGCATACCTGTTTTTTCTGTGCCAAAGTCCTCATTGAATATCTTTGCATTTGATTTTCAGGAGAGAGTAAATGATACTTCAGCAAAGCCATCTCACTTTGCTGCCCGGCCTAATGTTGCTCCCTATGCTCCCCCAATGATTACTATGGACAACGATGATGGTATCCCATACAAAGGTCGAGTTATAAACTCTCTATTTATTCTGCAGAGGTTCAAATACTTTTGGCGTTGTTTTCTAAATCCATATCCCACACGAGAAAGAATTATTGCTGAATGTATTGTGATTATAATAAAAAGGAATTCAACCAAACCCTAATATATATGCCTAAAAAATGGTGCTTTCTCTGATTTCCTTATGAACCTCTACTTATTAGTTTGAGTTGCTCACTATATGTCAATTAAGTTTCTTTGGGCTTGGCGGAGCAGGGGTGGTGTTTGCACCTATGGACTTTGATAGCTATTTAGACTAAATATAAAATTGGAGCCATGGTTCTTTCATTTTTATTTGTGGGAAGGCAAATCACAATATGTGAAACAGCTACTACATGCCCTTTTCATGTCTTTGAGGAGGAAATGGGTGTCTTTTTAAGATATAGACCTTGGTATGTGCAAGTACAACCTGAACGCTTCTGTCTAATTTTAAAAATAATAAAAATAATAATAGTCAAGTCAAATTTTTCGTTCAAGTTAAAATAAGTACGTACATTAATTCTGCTTATTGGCAGTTGAGTGGTGTTTATGTTATAGATATGGACTGCTGATTGTTCGTTCTCCAACTAAGAAGTTTTTGGTTTCTAATTTCTAGAGCTTCCTCTTTGAAATGTATTGTTGCAATGGCTTGTTAATATCTGCTTGTTTTGTTTTCAGCTATTGGTGGTATTACAGGAGAGCTTCTGGAGCAAAATGCCCAAGCCTTGAATCAAATCTCAGCAAACCTTGCAGCTTTCCAGGTATGGATCTGTCATGGAATTATTTATTTCCTTTCGTGTTATTTTATCCGAACTCCTCATGGTATCAGAAATCTCAAAGCCAAGGGGTTTCTAAAGCACATGCCGTTTATGCATGGTGATGAAAATTGACATCTATTTCTTGATACTGTCTGGATAATCAACAGAACGCCGAGCAATTGTATGTGTAAATTGCATTTATTTTGCCTTGGCCTCAAATTTATTTATTTATTTTTAGGGAAACAAGACAATTGTCAAGATGTCCTGTAAAGCAAAAAATATAAAAGCAAAAGCATTAGTCAACCAAAACGGCCAAGACATCCCTGACATCAACAGAAAATTAAGAAATTGCTGGACTCCAATCTGAAGATACAGCAGAACTGTGCATTCCCTAAATTCTGATGATACCAATGGCCAAAGAGATGCCAAAACTCTAGAAATTTACATCAGTTTTCCCCTTAATGTTATATTTGAGTCCTTTAACCTACAACTTTTTGATCCGTGTATTCGAATTGTTTCTAATGGATGGCTCAGTGATGTGGTTGATGAATCGGAGGATCATTTCATGTTTTTGTCTTTAAAAATCATAATTTGTTTGACCTCACTGTTCATTACTCGCTTTAAAAATCATTTGACCTTTCTTTTTATTATTGCAATATAAACAATTTATGCATACTTTTAAGATAGGACTTGTCCAAAAAGATGATGTAATATCTTGGTGATAATGTCCCTTATAGATACGTTGTTGGCGCTTTGGTAACTGGAGTGGGCTTTTTTTTTTTCCTGTCCGTTTTCAGATACAGGAGAACGTCAACCTCTTCTGCCAAACTCGAGATAACATCCTCAAGATCATGAATGAGTATGCTGTAATCTTTACCTTTGTTTTTTTTTTTTTTTCTTTTGTTCATTATAAACTGAAACGGGATCATTTAAGGCATTTTCTTCATTCTTGCAATACCCATGTGTTCTCTTTCTTTTGTTAGACGCTAATAGTTGCACTTAAATGCCATATTTTATATTTTGTTTATATTTATGTTGTGAGAACAGATATTGAAAAATTGACGTACTTATGTTTCCTACAACTCTGAACCCTTTTCGGAACTTCTACTCTGTAGACCTCTGGTTTTAAACGACAGCTCATTAACAATAGAGAACAAGAAGTACTTGGAGATTGTCCTGTGAGGAACACAGCTTCATTTATCTTGGCAGTCTGCATGTACCAAACTCACCTTGATTGTAGGGTTCTTCAAATGCATGAGTTCTGTAGTGCATAATCTGACATCATTGCTTTTACCTTCACAGCCTTCTATTGTAAAAAAATTATTGTTCTCTCTGATTACCGGCCACGAGTGCTGACTTTATATGTGCTGCGATAGCGAAGAAAATGCCTCAAGTGATCTAATTTTCTATTAAAACGATGAACATTGATACGTGTTGAGTTGTTACATTTGTGTATGTATATTCATAAACCTATTTTTCAAATCTCTCTACAGCTTGAATGACATGCCAGACGTAATGAAGCAGATGCCCCCACTTCCGGTGAAAATGAATGAAGAGCTAGCAACCCATGTGGGCATACCACCCCATCAGATGCAATCATGATCATTATTCAGCTTCCATCCGCGTTCTTTGTTTCCAAATGGGCTTCTGATTAGTACCGAAAACACATCCAGACGCCCAATTTGGCCGGAGTTTCTTCAGATCAAATCCTGGCTTCCAGGCAACAAAACGGAGTCAACCCGCCTTTGCCATCTCAAAATCTGCAGGGGATCTAATTGTTTGTGGAGATGTCAGTTCTTTTATCTTTTCCTATTTCCCTTTTGTGTTTTAGTATTTCAGATTTGATTTCATGATGGTGTTTCTATAGCTAGGCATGACTTAGCTTTCGTGTAGAAAGTAGGAATAAAATTCTTTCTGCTGCATTTCGTATGTGTTGGGGGATTGAAAGAATAAGAATAAGTACTTGATTCATGTGTTTTTTTTTTTTTTTTGGTTGTATCTTTCGGTGAAATTTAGTGGGATAAAGCTTTGTTGTTGATACTTGTTGTATCTTTCTGTGAAACTTAATGAATAAACGAAACATATGGGCAATTATTACCATTTTCGAAGGTCAAACACGTAAAAGAACTCCATTACTTGAAATGTTGATGCATTTTCATTCAAACACCATTGTATTCTCCCTGTGAAGAAGGTGAAAGATAATTGAATAAAGTTATGGGATGGGGTGGAATGTTTGTTCTTCATAGTCTTCACAGGGAGAATACTATAGGGTGAACTATTAATGCTCAGTGCCACGCGAAAATTAATCCAAGCCTAAGGCCTGATCTAATTGTATATTGTGTTTTCTGTATTCCTCTTCCACACGGATTGCTTTTATGTTATTCCTATAAATATTAATGCTCTGTGTGGAAGAGGAATACAGAAAACATAATATATACAATCAGAACAGGCCTTAGGCTTGGATTAATTTTCAGTATTAGGCGTGTCCATGTTGGAGTGTGATTGTTCTTCAGCGATTGGAGTCAGACTTGGTTTATCAGAAGGAACCTATATATTTTTCGACTCATGAAACTGAGTTTCGTGGAAATTGAAATGGTTCGTTTTTGACGGGTGAGGTTGGTTCCTTTTGGATACTCTTCATGAGATTGGACGGTCCGGCAGTGGGTTTTGGTGGGGAAGAAAGTTATTGTTTGGTTATACGATTTGTTGAAAATTGATCGTGTTTGGTTCTCAAGATAAAGAGAAATGCCAAGAGAACTGATAGGATTAAAAGCATACCACAAAGTAGCACACAAATGTCCTATTAATTTTCCTTATTAACAATAATATTTGTCAATTGTAGCATATGAAAATAAGGGTCTTTCCCGCAGAAGATTGTTTTATCTAACTACTTAAAATGTCACAAAAACTGGGCTGCTGTCCCTAATGACCAGCCACCGAAAAATAATTATTAGACCGACTTACACTTATCTAAAGTCTACGAAATTTTATATGCAGATACTAGACACACTGAGCTACACTCACACAAATTTTTGGGATTTTTGGAGTTGATTTGATATTTAAATTAAATCGAACAAAAACAAGACAAAAACAGATTTTAAGTAGTTTGCAAATTAAGAAAAACGAGTTAGGGGAATTGCTATCCACCACCAAATAATCATGCAAAAATGTTATGTTTCATTCAAATTCCTTCTATTTCCGGATGAAGATGCTCAAGTTGGCTCAATGTTAGAACGCAACCTATTACTCTTTCTTATGTAGTATGTTAAGAGAATGGCGTTTTCAACTTAACTTAGTCCCTAACATGCAATCCAGAATGGCGTGTTCATAGATTTAACAAGTAGAAATCATTAAGAACAAAAAGAGTTTGAGTCATCACAAGGCATCGTAAGTACTGGCGTTGTCTTACTTATCCTAGAAATTGGTTCACATGTTAATCGTAATTAACAAATACTACTCTAGAACATATGTAGGTCCTCATTTGACAAGGGCAGGCACACACATATTCATAGCATTAGAATCCTAGATATGCTTACTAAGTATGCATCCATAGAAAACACATAAAGAATTCATCAATGAGACAAGTAGTGAATCAATTTTCATCAATTATAAAAGTAATTCAAACGAAATGTCATAACAGATTTGCAATCATATTAGGGGCTTCAAACAGCCCCTAACTACTAAAAATTTGGTTACACAATCCTTAAGTTCAAACAAAAGATAGACATGAGTTTGAGAAGATAAAACCGAGAGAAATCAAGTAAGGCTCTCCCCCCCTTTCCTTCCTTCCCCAATGCTACTTTTAAACCAATTCTTGCTGCATCATTTTCTTCTCCTTAACTCACCCACTAATAGTCATTTAGTGATGACAATAAGTGAGAGGAAATGTAAAACAATTGTAACTCCTTGGGTATCATTTATGCCAATTACTCCCTGTTAATCTTCATCTTTAATTCCATTTCCTCTTATATTTGAATAGGTGTCAGCTGGTTTGTTCTTGATTGCATCAGTTTTGGCTGCTAGATTTATTGGATTTATTGCTTTCAATGCTTTCTTGTCAGTTACAAACTGCTCAGCCTCTTGGGAACCTTTCAGTGTTAAAACGGCCATAACTTCTTCTAGAAAACTGATATTAACAATCCGCGAAATGCTCCAGAAAATAGACATCCGTATCTTTCCAAGCATGTAAGGCTCATTCCCTAATTCATTCTGAGCTGTCCGCAACTTGCTTCCAAAGTCAGCTGACCTGCACAGGCAGTTTTGACGAATTTGTTACTTAAAATTTCACTTGTGTTATTTTTCTTTTCTTTGCTTGACAAATCCTAGAAAACACAAAAACAAAGTAAATAACTCAAAAATATAAGGAACTAACTAAGAAAAGGCAAGTGAATTTGATATAAAAAATATATAAATATAAGCTTATCAAGAACTCTCAAAAGGGTGACTTTTCTATCATTTCATATTTTTGGTACGATGATTTATAACATTGGTATGAAATTGCGTTAAACTGTGAGGTGATAAAAAATTTATAACATTGGTACAAAATTGTGTTAAACTGTGAGGTGATAAAAAGTTCACGAAGAGTCTCACTTTGAGAGACTCTTAATAGTGGAACTTTTCATGGACTCTCTGCCACCTTATATTTTTTACACAATATTTTGTAATAGGTGTTTGGCCAAATTTTCAGAAAGTTTTAAATGACATGTGTCTTTTTCATGTTCAATTACGTGCATAGGTGGGTACTCAGTAAGTATTGTCCTTATTTTTAGAGCAGTTTTATTTATTTATTATTTATTATTTTTTTTAACAAACAATATTATTTATGCTAACGTGAATAAATGGATTTAGCCTCATAATAGGCCAGCAATAATATGGTTCAAATTCGTCTTTGACGAGAATCGAACTTAAAACCTCTCACTTACAAATGAAGATAATATTTTGAAGTGAGGAAGAGAATATCTTGGCCTCCTATTTTATATTTATGAAGGTAAGTTACTTTTAACCTACTTTCATAAATGTTAAATAGGAGGCATTTATTTGCCATCATTATGGTGGATAATTAAAATTGTTATCATAATTAAGATGTTATGGCATATTTACAAATATTTGGTAATAGTCGGTTACTTATTTGTGTACTTGGCAATCTGAAATTCGAGTTTTATTTAGATTTTTAAAAGGTGATGGGATTTTGTCTTAAAAATTAGGGAAATACTCAGAAATAGGATAGTTTCTTAATCTTGGGACAGAAATATGACATTTCGAATATACACACGCCATGCACAACAACCGGACAGAAATAGGATTTTTTCTACAGCGTGAAATAACCAAATTGTCTTCCTATATGAATGAGTTATCCAGAAATTCAAGCTCTCATTTCTCATTTTGTAGAGAGAAACAGAGAGGAGAGAGAGAATCTCTCTCCCCCAATTCTAGTTTGAAGAACCTTAACCCATCAATCTTCTTCATCCAAGAGCTCTTTCTAATGTTGTGGTAGAAACTAACACACAAATTAAACTTTATATATTATGCAATCGTAGTACAAGTAAGTAGAGATAGTTCTATTCTGGGGATTAGAAGGGATGTTAATCAACTCAAATTAAAATTATAAAACTGAAAACTAAGTTAAACTAACATTAAAACAATGACTGGGGGGATTTTGGACGAATTTAATTAAAACAAAAGTAAAGGGCAAAAGTAAATTAAGTTGTGAATGAAATATGGATGAAATGATAGCTAAATGATTCTTCTTCACACATGAAACATATGCATACAAATCGATTTTCAATTGTTCTTTCTATAAACCATGAATGATAATGCCCCAAATTAATTGTGAACACACTAATTAACTCTCAGATTCTCCTAAGTTCATTGAATTGGACGCAGTGATGCATTCAAATTATTCTTCTCAAGTTCCCTAACTATAAAAAGCATGATAGAGATACATATCGATGATCATTAAGTTCTGTGAAAATCATAAGCGTTGACAAGAATTTACTTAACTCAATCATGACTAGTGACTTTTACTACTTACAAATATAAGTTCATAACGATTAAGTAAAATTCTCTTGTATTCTAGCATCAAATCCCTGTATGCAAACTAAGTATGCATCCTTAATAAACATACAAGAATAAGTTCTCTATAAAACTGATAAATAAATCGCATTCATGTTTTATGAAATAATAACTGAATGTAATCAATTTATATAAAACATATGATCATGGCTTCGAATTCACCTCTAGCTAAAAAGAAACTTAGTTACTCATGTTCATTGTAACTGAAAAGCAATCTAAATCAAACATTGAAACTTAAAACAAAGAGAGAAAGAACTCTGAAACTTTCAGCAACTTCGATAGATGAATGGTAGGCGCTGCACACCTAAATCAATGCAGGAATTTCATATATATAGGGAGAGAATAGCTGAATCCAAGGATGAAAGGTTTTTGATGTTTTAGAACTCGTAAAATTAGGTGGAGAGTGTTGGAATGTGATTAGGATTCCTCTTTGCAGCTGGAGATAAAATAAGATAATGTAGGATAAGATATGATAATATAAGATAAGATAGGATATGATAATGTTCCTCTCCAACTAGAATTCCTCTTTCTTGTGTAATTCCTTGCCTTCCAAGCCTCAACTTTAATTTCTCCATATTTTAGCACATGTCTAACCATTTAAACACCAAAAATGTTTAGCCCATATACTATCCACGCATGCTATCCAATCCAAGTCCAAAATTGCTTCAAATTGCTCCATTTGACTATTTATTGTCATCTTTACCAACTAGACCTACAATAATACGAAAATAACATAGATTACCAAAATAAATTGAAATTAACTAAGTAAATGCAAAGAAATAAGATAACAAAGTCGCATAAATATGCTCTTATCATCTAACCCACCCATCTTCTTCATCCAAGCTCTCTCTCCTCTCTCCACATTTCAAATATGCACAAGAACTCTCTCTATCCCACTCATCTTCTTTGATTTTTACCTTTTCATTAGTAGGTTTTGTGAACTGGATTTGCTTAATTTTGCTTTTTGATTGATGGATTTTTGGAGTTGAAGTGATTGGTTTTGGTGTTTCTTGGAGGAACCCAAATCCTTAAATTTTGATTTTTGATTTTTTATCATTTCTCTGATTTATATGTGGGTTTTCATTTCTTATGTCTTCTCCCTTCCTCTGCTCCCTCTCTCGATCTATATTTACAAACACTAAATTAGGGTTTGGCTTTTCCTGCAATTAAATGAAAAAACATATTAAAGGTCAGTTGCCTTTTGGAGAAGAGATAAATTTGAGGGAAAGGAGAGAAATCAAAGTGGAAAGAAGGAAGAGAGAAGGATATGGACGAAATTGTTTCGCGTACTCGTTCACTCTCTTCGTATTAAGCTCACTCATATACTGTATGCACATGACATGCACATGTTATGCTCACAAATCTGAGTTCAACCCAAAAATCCATAACTCACAATTCTCTCTTTGAAATCAGCAAAAATGACGCAATAAGATAAATGACCCTAAACTTTATATGAAGAATCTAAGATTCATTAATTTGAATTTGGTATCAAATTTGATTGGGTTCAAATATTTTAAGAATTTGAAAAGAAAAAAAAATTGCAGTTTGAATGGGTACAAATGAATCCAACTGAATCAAAGGAAATGTTTCACGAACTCGTTCGCTTTTTTGGTATTTGTAGGGTCTACCTTTGAATCAAAGGAAAAAGTAATAAACTACGTTAATGCGAAGAATATCAAAGAGTAAATACACACCATCTACACATATAATACACTATATGCACACCACATGCACATAATATGTACAGTCACATGCATATGATATGCATGATAAACTTTACCGGCAACATATTGGTATAGTGGATACAACTAAAACATAATTGTTATGTATACAAGGTTACAATGATAGTTTCAAAAGTCTTGTTACGTATATCAACCACCGCTTAACTATGCATGTGGAAAACATGATATTCGTTGTCGTTATTTCACGAACACGCATGACCTTTAATGTCCCCTAAGTTTTTTCTTAATTTTGTTTTTCGCTGAGGCTAACTAGGTTATGGTCATACTTGCTAAATTCTGGGGCACAACATATGTGCATCTGAACTAGTGAACATTCCCGCTTCTCATATTAAGATGTAGCCATGCATACCATATGCACACCACTTGCACATTATGGAAAAATTTTCACAAATTTATGCAATTGAACACTTGAACCAGAAATTGTTCCATCCCAATCTTGTAGCATGTCAAAACTTGAAATTTATTCCACAACCTAGACGCCCTAACGTGAAACACAAACCCTAATTTAACTTCGAAGTATTAATTCATCTTACAAACAGCCCATTTATTCCATAAATCATTGATGAAGGAACTTGAAACTAAACACCCTACCTTACTATGCTTGCCAAAGCTTCAGTCACTGGAAAAAATAGAACTTTCCGACCAAAATAGAAAATATGGTGTGAAACCTAGCTCACTCTTCTCACCTCTATCTCGGATCCCCTTGTTCAAAATCAGAGGTATGTGGTGAACCCAAAACCCAGCTCACTCGTCTCACATCTCTTTGAACTTCCATCTCTTCGAAATCGGAGCTCGGAGATCTGAGAAAGGAAGAAAGAGTAGAGAGAAATAAAAAATGAGAGGAATAACTCATTATGTGTGGGTATTTTACTAATAGAGTAGAGAGAGAAATAAAAAATGAGAGGAATAACTCATTATATGTGGGTATTTTAGTAATTTTGATTTTGTGCATGGTGTGCATAGCTGATTTGTCCTTTTTTTTATCACAAGATTAAAAAATTATCCCATTTTAAAATATTTTCCTAAAAAATATGTGTTGCAAGAATTTAATCTGTCTACCATATATGGTCCTAACTCGTAAGTTCCTAACCCTCCAAATGCATACCAGTCACATCTTGGATATACGTAGCGCATGAGCTTCTTGCCGCGAAGCCATCGGTATCATTCTCTGTTCCAACATGTTATGACGCAAAGAACCTTGACAATTTTGGGCTGCTTTTCTTTCTTCTTTTTATTTTGTATGTTTTTGACTTTCCATTTTTTTGATATAAATACTTAGAAAAGATCCATATACAAAGTATGGACGAAAGGGAAGAGAACGAGAAAATTCCTTATGTCACTATTACATATATATAGGGAAGCAAATATAGTAGCTGACGGATTTGCTATTCTTGGTCATTATTGTTCGGTTTTTTTTAGTTAAAATGGTTCTTGAGATTTGCATAATTCTTCACTTTTCATGAGATTTAAAATCGATAGAAGTGGTCCTTAAGTTTGTCCACCATCAAACATTTTGATCATTCCATAAAAAAATTTCATTAAATAAAGATAAAATGACAAAAATACTCTAAATTTTTGTCAAATTATTTTGGCTTATTGTTTATTAAGTTGAAGATATTTTTGTCGTTTTGGTTGTTGTTTAACAAAATTTTCACGGAATGAGCAAAATGATTGATAGTAGACAAACTCATAACTACTTTTATTGATTTCAAATGTTAGAGATCAAAATGAGAAGTTATGTCAATCTCAAAGACTATTTTAACTTTAAAAAAATCTTATTATTCTTAATTTTGTATCCAGTTTAATAACTTTTCTAATTTAGTTATTCATAAGTTAAATTTTGACATGTATGATTTTAAAATTTGTCGAGCATCTTCATTGTAATTTATTTATGTCGTTAAAAAAAAGTAAGAGAGAGAGAGAGGTCTCTGGTTTTGGTTACTTTAGGCTTTAAGCCACCTTTATTTTGCTTAAGGGGGTTTGCTTTTGAATACGTGAAGTTGCGTTCTAGAGATTTGACCGTATTTAGATTTCCTTTCTACGCACCCTCCTTACTGGAAAAAATAATGGAAAATGAATCAAAGCATATGTGATCAACAGTTAGCTGACGTAATTGCCCTCGATCGATCGACTCCATTACCTGAAAGTCGTTTAACTTGACCAGACTAATATTTGTTGTTTTTTGACTCAAGGAAAGAGAGAGAGAGAAAGAGGTTCTGGTAGGAAAGCATAAGTATTTAATTTCCAACTCCATCAAATGTGGGAGATAGTGATACCTATCATATATATATATATATATATATATATATATATATGTATGTATGTATATGTCTGTACATACACTTTATGTATGAACCTAGTTATGAAGTAGTTGAACGTCAGAAATGGGTTAAGGTGGAAAAACCAAATCAAATCTCTCTCTCTCTCTCTCTCTCTCTCTCTAGCAATATGATGACATCTGCAGACGAAACAAGTATATAGTGTTTGACACGGTTTCGTTAGCCTTCATGTATTCTCCATCTCTCTCTTATTTAATTACCAATTTAATCAGGAGGCTCTGGAGCAGCAGCCTTTTCTTCTGCGAGTTTGAAAATTAAGAAAAAGATTATTCAGTTGAGGGTCGTGACTTTGGTTTTGTCCTTTAACGCTCTGACGGAGAGAAGGACGCCAAGACATGCAAGCATTTGAAGAGTCTCAGTTTCTAGATAACTACACGTTCATAAATTCATCAAATAATATCTGATGTTGTTGAAAGAAAGACAGATGGCTGATCGATCACTTCGAAGAGAGAGAGAGAGAGAGATTTGAAGTTATTTAGTCATTTGGTTGAGTTATTTAAGGCAATTAGTGAGCAATTTGCCAAGACGAAGCCTTTGCAAAGAAGAAGCCATTGAAGAAGAATTGGAAGCAACTGATCTGTATTCATTCAACGTTGAGAAACCTGCACTTTTTCATCTCTAAATTTCAGGTAACTTCGTGGAATTAAATTAAAACGAGTTTTCCTTTATTTCTAACGCACGTTAATGGTTTTGTTTTCGTAAATTAATCCACACCGACCTCTTTTCCGGGAAATATTGTTAACTTTTTTTTCTTCCCTAAATTTCCTGCCGTTCATTGAACTTCAACATATCTTTCTTTTTTTTACAAACAATTCATTGAACATCGTTTTATTTTTTATTTTTTTACGAACGATAGCATTAATCAGTTAAATAGTTAGTTATTAAATGAGAGAGATTGATGGCAATTGAACCCGCACCAGAGTATATATAGAGACATTATTGTTTTCTACTTCTGCGGTAAAACACCATCTCTTTCCTTCGTTACAAAGTAATTTGTTAACTAATACGCACTTTACCTATTTCCTATATTCTTGATCAAATTTTTTTTTGTTTGCTACCCATTCCTAGTGGGCCGTGCGCCCCTACGAGGCATTCTTGATCAAAATTTTGCTGTCTAAATTAATTAAGGGAAGTGTTATTGGTACTTTAAAAATTTCATTATAGACTTCTCACAAGTGTATTTTTCTTTCTAAATATAGAGAATTTGTGGTGTAGAATGAGAAATTTGAAGTGCTAATAACAATTCCATTAATTAATATTGTTCTTTATTTTGTGAAGAAGAAATTGCATATACATTCTAAGTACGTAAACGTGTATATACATGCATCAGCATATTGTAGTGGTTAAACAAATCCAACACAAAATTAATAAAAAATCTGATAAAAACTAATTTGAATGGATACATAATTAGTCTATTTTGTAGAAGACGGAAATGTAATTAGTATTAAATTCATGCAAATCCCAAAATACATGCTTCTTTTGAGAATATAGTTTCCTTTTGCAACTCTTTTTGCTCAAATATAAAGTGTGATGCTATCCACGCATTCTATTTTTTCATCTTTTACACATCTTTTTTAATTTCTAATCGTCAGATCTATTGAATTGAATAAGATCAACAAAAATAATCTGAGGGTGGTGAAAGGTAAAACGGGTATGTGGATGACGCCACCTAATATAAATTAACCACAACTAATCCAATACTAAAGCATGAAATTCATTCAAATTGTCGTTCTTTTCTCTCTCCCTCTCCCTCTCTCTGCAAAAGAATTGTGATCATCTTGCTAATCAGAGCATCGATCTATTACTTACTTGGGCAGGTTAAGGTTACAGATGGCTTCCACATATAGCACATCGTTAGTTGTTTCCATGACTGGTGATTTTATCCTTGAGGATGATCACAGAAATACAAGGACAGTCTACTGGGTCGACCAACTTTGCACCCCCACCACAAGTACCAGGTGAGTTGCATGGCATATGCCCGTAGTGAACTTTCCTGCATCTTGGTGCTGTACAATTTATGCGTCATTATTTCTTCCCCATTTGTCATGTAAGATAAAAGCACTTGAGTGTTGTATACACTGTTGCTGGTAACACGGCCTGCCATGGAAACACACTTCTTTTTTATTTATTTTTATCTTTTAGCTGGTTAATTAAGAGCTTTTGTCATTACACCCGAAATTCTATGTTCGAAAAAAAAATTCCAAAAGGTATTCCTATTATGATTCCAATCTTGGAAACACTTCTAAATGCTCTCCAATTCAAAGTTTCAAAAAAATTTAAATAAAGAAAAAGCAAATCAAACACAGTAAAAAATTTAAGTCATGAAAAAAAAAAAAGGAAAAAATCATAGATTCTTTTTATTTTTCTAAAACAATTATGTTAGTGAGTTAAATTATTAATATTAAGAGAGAGGAAGACCGGTGTGGATCGAACCTACACTAGAGTGTATAAGCATGATTATTTTCCATCACTGCAATATTGAGGATGAAAAATGTCGAGAAAATCACAGATTCTTAATATGGATAGAAGCATAGATAGATTAGTATTGCTTAAGTAGTGCATTAATTCCCAAACATGATTACTGAGGGAGTGGAACGGGATTCAATTCTAACTACCTAAATTCTCGATTCCAGGGAGCAATTTGCTTCAGGCAAACAATGATTCAGAGCCCTTGACACGGTCAGATGATACTGTAAGGGTGGATCCTTTAGATGATTTGAAAAAATATAGAGGAGGATACAACATTACCAACAAGCATTACTGGAGTGTAAGCCCTTCCTCTTCCTCCCTCTCTCTCACTCTCTTCGCCTGTGCTCACATACACATCCATTGCTTCGAATTCAAATTTGATCCAGAAGTAACTAACTTTGATGGTGTTTATGCAGTCAACGATATTTACTGGAATTCATGGATATGCACTTGGGATGCTGTGGCTTTTGTGTGGCATTTTATATGGGTGCTTCCTATTAGCAACCAAACTTTGTTGTAAAAATAGGAAGAGTGGAAAGCTAAAGAAAAGATTACTTTGTCATAAGCAGTGTTACCTCTGGCAATGGCACATTTTCCTCGCCATATTCTTCACCGTCTTTGCAATGTAAGTAGTCAGTCCAACTCTAGCACCGAATTTAAAACACATAAATCTAATTTTGCACACAAATTCTGTATTTTTCTAAATGGAAACAAGTTTCTCCAATGACTTCCAAATATATAATTTCATGATACTAGTTCCTTTATCATCCATGCGTGCAGAGTTGCATTCGGATTAGTTTTAGGGGGCAACGCGAGATTTCATTCACAAGCGAAATCAGTGGTGGACATTATCATAACTACTGCAAATGAAGCATCAGGTACCGTGTACAACACAACAGGAGCCATGAAAGAAATGAGCAACAACTTTGATTCAACTGGAAACACTGAGGTTTCGAGCTTCCTCACCTCCACATCCCAAAAGCTTGATACTGCAGCTGCAGATATAGAAAGGCAGGCTAAGAAGAACCGGCGTTTGATTGACAAGGGTCTCAAGATAGTGTAAGTCTTTCTACTTTCAGTTCCCTCCCAAGTCTCAAGTAACAATTGACTCCCTTCATTGGATGTTAATAATAATGTGATATATTTGCGCCTGCAGGTATATTGTAACAACAGTGCCTATTTCCTTGGGCCTGGTTGCAGTGATTGCTCTGTCAGGTGGGTATTTGAGTTGTTTGCAAGATTCATTTTATCATCTGCTTTACTAGTTCTTCGTAAATTTTTTGTTGTCAGACTGTGAATCAGGACCACACATTAGGTCGATTCCATGAAGGTCTGATCAAGGCAACATAAGCAATATAAGCCTTTAAGAATCGGATATGTCTAGTAGTCGCTATTAAAACTGCCGGAATTCCTGTATATCATTTCAACTGTAATTATTGCTGAAGCTGTAATTCTCCCTGTTGCAGTGTCTGGAGTTTTGAAGTTACGACGGCTAGTCCAACTGTAAGTGTAAAAAATTTACTAAATTGATTTGTACAGGTACTAAATTAGTTATGCAACAACTTAGAACGATATGAATCCTAACACAGTGTTTTTTCTCTGTCTACTGCAGGCTCATTGTACTATGCTGGTTGTTAACTACTCTTTTCTGGGTATTTTTTGGGCTGTATTTCTTCTTGGCAGAGTATGTGTAGCTCTTTTCCTTTCCTTAAGTGTTCTATACATGTATATTCTTAAAGAACATTTGATAGGACTCCGTAAATGAAAACACAAGAAACAATATACAACAAAAGGTTTAGGAATGTTAATTGAAAACCGTTTGTTCGATTTCAGGTTCTCAAACGATACATGCACAGCTCTCGAAAGTTTCCAACAAAATCCGAACAACAACAGCTTGAGCTCAATCCTCCCCTGCGATGAATTGGTCTCAGCAAAATCGCTTCTACATGATGTTGGTGCCGGTATCTATAGCCTTGTTAACGAGGTAAGAGTGATTAATGTTTTTCGGTTTAGCAGAGTGGTTACTGTCTTTTGGTTTAGCAATCTAAATTAATTTGTCGACTGCATTCAACATGAAAATGCTTGCAAATCTGAAATTTTAAACCTTTGGTAAATCTCCAGGTAAATGCAAACATATCATCTCTACAGGAAACATCATCTCAGAATATAGAATATGTCTGCAATCCCTTCTCAGAACCACCAGAATACAATTACCAACCACAAAAATGTCCAAATAATTCCGTTCCAATAGGAGACATCCCAGAGGTATGCTCAATACAAGTTTTATGAATTTGACCAAGGCTCTTATGCTTTGACATGTTGGGTACTTAACACTGTCTAACCCTCGATCATCTGTATTTAATTTCCGAAGGTCTTGAGAGTAGATACTTGTTCAGACACCAACAGTGGAACCTGCGAGAATGGAACAGTTATATCGGACAGCGCTTACAAACTGGTGGAACTCTACACAAGTTCAATACAAGGTATACTAAATTCATACCCAGGAATGGAAAGCCTAGTAGAATGTCAGACAGTGAAGGATGCATTTTCTGAAATCCTTGTCAAACACTGCAAACCGTTGAAGCGATACGCTAAGATGGTTTGGGCAGCAATGGCCTTTCTTGCAACACTAATGGTGTTGTTGGTTCTGTTATGGATAATACAAGCCAATCATGAACGAAACCATCATTCTGCAGATGGTTCTGTGTCTGCAACAGAAAATGTGGTGGAGTTGGGCACAGCTGCTGCCGTTAAGGACAACCCAAATCCTAGCTTAGCATAGAATATAGCAACCAATTCTCAGATATATGGAATGATAAGCGCAAGCGAGTTCCATCGGAGTTCTTATACATAGACTATAGAGATACAAAATTGTACATGTACATACGCTGATATAAATGGAAAAAAACAAGAGAGAATATTTGAATGAGGGAATACTGTTGAAAGTAAATCTTACGTTGATGGGAGGAGAGACTTGCATGAGATTATAAGTAAACTGGGTTACTCTGCATATTGCCAATTGGTCGTATGGTGGAACCTCAACTTTCTTCATGGTATCAAAGCAGGTTGTCTCACATGTGAAGTCCAACGACCACGTGCTCCACGTTACCCCATTTGTGTTGTCTATGTGTTAGGTCTGAAAATTGCCACACGTGAAGGGGCATGTTGAGAATGAATCTACATTGATGGGAAGAGGGACCTTGCATGAGCTTATAAGTAAATTGGGTAACTTTCTATATTGTCATTGATTTTATAGTGGAATCTCAACTTTATTCGAATGTAATTTGGTACACAAAACAGTGGTTCACAATTATTTCATTCATTAACCATCTAACACTCATTCGTCCAACAGCTATATGCATAAAACCACAGATGGACCCCAAACTTGTAGTTGAGCTTGTAATCTACGGCACTGGACTAGCGTGTAGTTGTTAACTTGCCTCCAAAGTTCGGAAACTTGTAATGCAAGAGACATTTACTTCATTCTAATCAACTTTATACGTTATTATTTTCTTTGTGTGTGAAAGTATTGCTTGTGGGGACTTGAAGTTATACTAGTTGAGAGTGCACTTAAAAGCTAAATCGGATTTTTAGATCGAGGTTCAAAATCATAGACTACTTTTGAAGTGAGTCCAATCATGTTTGTGGTAAAAAATAGAAAATATTTGAATTCCTTGGAACATCTCCAATCATTAGGTTGAAACCTAAAATTTTTAGCTCAGAAAATATAGGTTTTGATACAAAAACAGCTTTTTTGCTTCAACCTTTCTGACCTAAAATTTTAACCCCAGATTATTAAAGAATGAATTTAAGGTATTTTTTTAATTAACTTAAAAGAAATTATGTAGACTATCCTAAATTAATTTTATGAACATTTTAACCTAAAAATATTTAAATTCCGATAAATATTGAAAAATCACTAAATTGACACATGAAACTCATAAAACACTATAGAAGAATATGAAACATAGGATAGAGATGTATAGATTTTTGGGTGAATTTTGAGTTAAATAATTTTTTTAATTATTTTAGCCGTTGGATTTAAATTTGGACAGTTAGATTATTATTATTTTTTTTTACAGTTAGATTTGATTATATTCGATCTCAGTCGTTAGATTCAATACATATATAAATATATAACTAAAAAAAAAAAGTTTGAACGTGGACCGTTGAATCAACCAACGGCCCATTTAAAATTGACCGCCCGATCAGAAATAGACGTTAGGCTCATTATTGCATGAGACTAGTGGGCGACAAGCCCACGTGGGTGATGCCGGCAGACCTGCTAGGCTTGGGGCAGGTGCGTGTCCTTGCCTGGCGGGGTGTTTCAATTGTTATTTTTCACTTTCATATGTGCCTCTATCACTGAGTTTGCCCTAAATCTTGACCGGAATTTGGTTTTTTTTTTTTTCTTTTAGTTCCAACCCTTAACCCCATTCTAGCACAAGCATCGGTATGAAATGGGGGAATGTAAGGGAAAATTTGAGACTTACTCCAAGAGTTGAAGTTGGTCTTATAACTAATGCATCAGTTACATAATTTTGAATTTCAAATATTTAAGGGTAAAATATATTTTCACCTTTAGGTTTGTGTTCAATTGCAACCTCATACAATATTTTAAAAATATTTCAATATTATATATTACTTATTCTTTCATTTCAATATCATACATCCGTCACAACGACTGCTTCTGTTGGTTAGAAAGACTTTGTTTAGTTTATTTATTCATTCACGTTGATGACCTAATTAATGTCAAATTTTTAAAATGCATGTTCAGATCAATTTAAAATCACTCTTAGAACTGAGGTAGTTTTCCTAATGAACTCATAAATAAAAAGAAATAATTTTTACAATTATTTTAACTTCTCACACATAATATTATTATTATTTTTTTGACCGTCGAATATAATAAATCAAACGAAAACACGTAACGATAACCATAGTGTGCAAGAGGCTAAAAAGCCAAAATAGTAGTTTGGCGCCAACCACGTGTCTTTGATTTATTTGGCTGGTAAAAGGGGGAAGAAAAGGCGCTAGGAAGAAAACTGGGAGAAGAATCCGAAAGCTGAGCAAGAAAATGGCAGAACGGGTTAACCTGGCAGACACTCTCGAAGAGCTCCTCAACTTCACTCTCCAATCTTTCGTAAATGGAACCCTAGAATTCGATCTAGGGTTGCCCAAGGACTTCTGCTCTCAACTACTCCAACCCGAACCCGAACCCGAACCAAACGACGACCTCTTCCCCCCTTCCCTCTCCGATACTACAGGTATATCAATTCATCCTTTTCTATTTTATTTTGTTTCCGTTGCTTTCCAACAATTTCTAGCCAAAATTTTATGTGTTTATTTTCTCGAAGTTTTGAATTTTCAAATTTTTTCCTATCTACCTAACAGAGAACTTGCCCAATGTGTGTGTATTCATGCATATGTATGTGTATGACTAACAACTGTGTGTATATATGTATACACACACACATGTATGCTGATATCGAAGCCATGAAATCCGTCATAATCCTTAAAATTAGCTTTACTCACAGCAAGAATCGAAGAGAAGAAAATTCTAGGTTTTCTTAATGAAGCATAACACAAAGAAGAAATGAAGAACTGATTTCATTCAATTGATCTGAAGAACTGATTTCATTCAATTGATCTGAACTGAATTACAACTACGATAAACTTCGGCTATTTATACATTGACGGATGACTAATCATATTTAAGTTTTAACTAACTAATCTTGACAGATGTCCAAACTAATCAAAACTGTTGTAACTAGTCATAATGATGATTTGGCAACATGGTACTAGCAAATGTAAGCATTGAACAATAAACGTATATTTGCAATGCATGATGTCTAGGTTGACTTTTGATCTGAATTATATTCATGGGTCTATTTGATTGTATTGTGTTCAAATATGGCAATTGTTTGCAGATTGTTTTCAAGGGATTCCACCGTATCCTTTATACAAGTGTCTGGCATTGGCTTTGCACGAATCCATAATTTCTGGCACCTTTCTTGGCACACGTCACAATGTGGCCTCGGATGTTCAGGAAAGTTCCTTGAAAGAAGAAGAAAATGGATGGCAGAAGCTGATATCGGAGAAGGGATCTGAATTATTTAATGTAGAGTACAATTGGCCTTTTCGGTTTTGCTTGTTTTTCTTGATGTTTTCAGTTTTAAGAGCAGCTTGATTAATTAGTGAAGAAAAACTTGTTGCCTGTCACCAGATGTTAAAGGCTGTTGACTTTGAGCTTCATGTTCAGGAGCCTTTCTTTTCACAGCTTAAAGGTAATTATTTCTATAAAATTCACTGTTTGCAGGCACATGACAAGCTTTATAATTTTTATTTTAAATAGGATGATAAAACATCCTCTATGAATTGAAGCTTATTCTATCGACTTAATTGACATTGCCTGTAGATGGCCTCAAAACAATTGAAGGAAGGTGTGCTGTTGGTGATTACTGTAGGTACGACCATTCAAGTTTTATGCACTATACCGGTTTCTGTGCAGGCTTATTGGTATATTTTTATCTGTATTTTCAGTTTAAAGTACCATACAAGTTCTTGTTTCCAATTGAAGTTCATTCTCTAAAATCAATTGACTGGCATGGGTTTTGGTGTCTAATATGATAACCAAGAGTCTTATTTAATTAGTTACTTATACGCATTGCTATGTTCTTTTTCCATGAATTTTGTACATACATTTCACATTATTTGTTAATGGTGTGTGTAATTTGCATTAAGTAAAAGTGACGAAGAGTCATTAAAACTGGAGGCTCAATCTAAAATGAACTTTCGCACCCATCAACTTATTTGATGAAAGCCCCTAGACAAGATTTTGAATTGTGTAAAAACCATGTAACACCACAAAGACAATGCATATACAGGATAAACATAGGTATAAATTCGTGTCCTCCATCTCTTACAGGGATGTGTTTCAAATCAGACCACAGTGATGCGTTTCAAAGCAGCTCTTGCCACTATTTTGCTCCAGGAACTGAAACAAGAAAACATAGACAGGAGAATAATTGGTAGAGTGTAAGGCTCAAGATTTCAAGGATTGGGTGTTCCTTCCCTCTTAAGGTAGGTCTGGAGTGACAACAGTAGCTTGGGATACAAAAGTTGTCTCAGTTTCAAAATTAGCAATCAGGGAATTTTCATGAGATTTGGTTCGCGTGGGTACGGTGGTGTCATAGTGGTTTCATCTTTGGGATTGCAAATGCAACAGTCATGCACTCAATAACCAAAAATTGGACTCCTTGAAGATTCATGCTTACTGACCTATTAGCCTTGCTTCTAGTTTATAAAAAGTTCTAGCCGAAGTACTGCCGTTCAGATTTAGGGAGGTTCTTGATAACTCAATCTTGCCTTCCCAAAGTGCCCTTGGTGAGAGCTAGCCAAATAATACAGAGAGTGGTGGTAGCATATGAGATGGCAGAAGAGTATATCACTGAGAAAAGGGCTTTTAGAAGGCATATCATTATGTAGACTGGTTTTCTCAGATCTAGCTTTGGAAGCCAAAGGATTTGGCCCTTGAACATATACAGAAATTTGAGTGAGCTCAAGACTGCAGTATTCCTTCTTGATCTCATTGGTTGAGAATATTTGGGCTTTCACCTTATAGAATTTATGGAACATCTTGAGTCTTCAAGCCTTAGGTTTTAACTTTTGCAGCTCCTTATTTGAGGATTACAACTTCCCACTTTCAGTCCATCCCTTGTAGATTTGGAAGGCTAAGTTTCAGTTTTTGCTTCAATTGTTACTCGTGGAAGAGTAAATACTTAGTGAGGTTCATCAACTGAAGAGGCCACATCTCACCTGTATGGGGATGCTGAGAGCATTGACCACCTCTTTGTTCATTGTTCAGTGACCTTTTGATTGCGTTATAATTGTTTTCAGGTTTCTAGGTGACACTCAACCGTTGAGTAGGGTGCGGCCTTTTCATGTAGATACTTGTTTCTAGAATTTTGTGCTTTTGAATGTGGATAATGTGCTAGCCATTTTCTGGGTAAGATGGAGGAAAGGAAAAGTTAGTTTTTGAGAGAAAAGTTGGGTCTCTGTAGGCTTTGGCCTCTTTGTCTTTCATGATTGTCTACTCTCTCTCTAGCTGTCCTGGCTGTTGTTTGGGTGTCTTCTGTTTCTATTTTAGGCATGGGTGGATGCTGTAGTGTCATATTCTTTGTTTTGGCTCTCTTGTTTATTGTATGACCAAGGTTGTGGATCTCGCACTGCTGTTCCGTCTGCATTGTACTTCATTAATACTATAATCATGTTTCCTCCCGAACGAAAAAGTTTCATGGGGGGTGTAATGGAGCGGTTTGGTGACTGATTTTGTTTTGGGGATTGTATATTTTATTTAATTTATTGTCCACTATAAGCTTTATGTTTTTTCTATTCACTTTGTGCATTTTTTTATATTAATTTGGTGTACAAAATATCTCATTCTTGCAGCATATTATGCTTTCATAGCTACTTGTGAACTGGCTTTGACGTTGCACGAGCTTATGTAGTTTATGGACCATGCTATTGTTGCTTTGTGTGATTAAGTGAAAAGAATTTATCTAGATTTCTCTTCATTTTGGGTTTTACTTCCATCTCATCAATGTTACAATGTGTATAGTTGTTATTCATCCACTAGGGTTTTGTATATCGAATGAATTTATCTTTCATGTTTTTAATTTTTATTTTCTATGGATGCAGAATTGTCTCAGGATCTTTGATTCTCTTCAATAAATGTCTACTAATTGAAGTTCAGGTGCCTATGCTTTTTGTTATTAGTTTCTCGTTTCGTATATTCACCTTGGCTCTGCTAGGATTTAATGGATTTGCAGGATGTTCGCAGTTATTCTTTGTTCTCTGATATGATGGAGGCTGAGGGTCTATCTAAAGTCCTTCCTGGAGTTGAAACCATTGAACAAGGTAGCTGCTTATATTTTGTTCCCTACTGTGCCAGTTTGTAGTTATTATTTATTAGCTTAGATGCTACCATGATAAAAAGGTTCAATGTACGTCCAAAACAGATAGCGCTTGTTGTGAGAGTATCTCAATTCTTGGTATTCACAAGAATTGGAACTTATTCAGAAAGCTATTTGTAAAATACTATGAAAATATAATCTTTTGAATGTAAAAGGGAGATTCTGTGCAAAATTTTTTGTGTGTCCTTGATTATGAGAAAACTGTCTAAAACAATCTGCCTAAGTGAAAAATAGCACTTCAATCACATGCTGTAATGATTTATCATGTACTATTAAGTTATTAAGTGTCAAATGACCATATTAAAAGTGGAGCTAGTTCGTGTGTTCTGTGTTCTAATGTTGCATAAGAAAGAACTGAATTTTTTGAGCAGAAGATGGGAGAAGGCAGCAATACAGGTTTGGTGCAAAGTTTAGCATATCCCTTGCACTTGCATTTACAATATGAGTTGCGAAACCAATTTATGTGTTGGAAGAAGAGTCAGAAGTTTATTGTTTCTGGATTTTGCTAACTGATACATAATATCTTAGAGACACTGATCAAAGGAAGGAGGGAGGGCTTACTGTGGATTTCGCAATAATTTGAAATCCTAGATTTAGCTGTTCGAATTCTGGAAGCCTTAATTCAATTACTAAAACCAGCCCCAAACAACAGGTTTTGGATTTGGACCTCCGAATCCAAATCCATTACCAGAACTCATTCAATACAAATAGGCCCTAAATGTCTTAATAATTTATTTATTTTTATCATCAACAAGTGATTTATGGCCTTGATTACAATTGTTCAAGACTAAAGGGCATGCTACTTACAGGTGTGCAAGTTTACAGAAAGTTTTACACTGAGGAGGATGAAATGTCAAATGGTGTCCTAGCAATTAGTGTTTCAAAATTGCCTCTCCAGCCTTGCAATTTATTAGCTGGCATGCTCTTTGTAAGTGTATTTCTTTCTGCATTCTTAGACATTCACCTCATCGTGTGGATAGGGTGCATTAGTTTAGTCTGATCACTTGTAAACCTTGTGCTCGATACCATCATATTGAGGAATTCTGTAATCAAGCTGCCTTGAGTTGATAAAAGTTCACTACGTCTTATGAAAGTTTTGATAGGTATATTGTTCTATTCAGGGATTGAATAAGGGAGGTCTTCAAGGCCTTCTTGGTCTGGCACATACCACAGGGACTATTCCAGAGGCTCTTCCCCCTCCAAGGTCTACTCTTCTGTCATCGTTTATGCTGCCATATAAATTGAACGTAAGACACTGATAATCCTTTCTTGGAAAAATGTGTTGTGCATTCCCTTTTACTTTGTATGGTAGGCATTTCGGAACCTACTTATGTAAACTTTTTTAACATCTAAAATGATCAAATCAGAAAAAGGAAAGCTTGATTATTGATTTTCATATAGGCATATGTATTTGCATCAATCTTCTGGTGTTTTTTGTTACATATATTTCAACAGACATTGGACTCTGTCAATTAACTGTTAATCAGGTTGTCATAACAAAGTCTGATTATGGATTGATTAAGGAATTAAATATACTAAAAATTTGAGGTTCTCTTTTCGGCATGTCTTTTATTCCTAGAGGCTTTGGAGATTGATTTTATGTATCTTTGTATGCTTAATGAACTTTGTTCTTTCTGGCTAAAGGTTGAACATAGCACATTGACTCATGGAGCTAGGGCCCTGGCAAAACATGCAGAGCGGAGTAGCAGTAAATATTGGGGTACTATAGATGGAAACGGTGAGCAACTTTTAGTGCCTTGATTTAAATCTAGACTCTGGAGATGTCATTACCATCTTGTTTTTTATGGATTGAGTTACACATATAATTATGATATTTACTTCTGAGTCTGACTGTTTATACATCTTTTAAGTGGCAGAGGGTGCACTATAATAGGTACTACATTTTACAAAATTCAAATCGCCAACTTTTATTGTATATGTACCGTTTTTTCTAAATTTGTATCTCGTCGAAACCCTAATCAATATTTATCAAACAAGACCCACAATGAATATAAATTATGGAGAAAAAAATTGAACTTTTTTATTTGTGGGCAAGGACGGATCCCTTTGAGGGCAGGCCTTGGGCTGCAGCCTAAGTGAGAACATTAGAAGGGAAAAAATTAGTAGTAGTTGTAATGATTTAGTCAAACTCAGCCCACCCGAGTAAGTGTAGAGAAGCTTTAATACTTCACGCGTTTCACTTAATTTAGGTTATGTGATTGAGGATTGTACTCGGTTGTTTTTGTTTGTCGAGCTTGTTTTGTGCAATTGTTTGAGTCTTCGAAGTATTCTCATTATATTGATTTTATAAGTAGTTTATGTTGTACATATTTGCATTGCATGTTTGTTTCTTGCTTTTGTTGTATGTTTGAGTCTTTGAGGTTTTCTCATTATATTAAGATTTTAACAGGTTATGTAACCTAGAGTTACTGCCCACCCAAGAAAAAAATCCTAGCTCTGTCCCTGCTCATGGGACAGATAAATTATCCTAATGCAATACAAGTCACTCTTTCACATGAAGATAGTGTTATTTGTTTCACGGGTAGAGTACTCTTATGCAATATGATTCTTTTTGATATTGTGTCAGCCTTACAAGTGTATTATTTCCATTCGTTTATATTTATCATAGATTGTGTTTGGTAGATAGTAGTCAACACATCTGTTATTATCTGTGTAATAGATAATAGTGAATATAACAACACATCTGTTATTATCTGTGTAATAGATAGTAGTAAATATAACGGCTAATACATCTGTTACAAACACTTTAAAAGTTGTAAGTAGTGATACGGCTTTGTGGATTAGTACAGAAGAATCATTCATATTTCTTAGATATTTACATAAAATTGTAGGCCTGAGGATAAGGGCAATATTGAATAACGCTATCATCTGTCATACCAGATCTGATGTCGACCTCCTTAAAAGCATTGAATGATCCGATAAGCTCCTAATATTTTGTCACTGTTTTTGGGTTGTGGTAATAAATTGCAAATGTTAATTCCACGGTTGAATATGACAAGCTTTGTGCCCCACTTGTCTTTTTTTCGTTTTCGTTGTGTCTGAAACCAAGTTTTATTCAAACATGTAAACTATTGTATTTTTTGTATTAAGATCAGGCTTTGTTACCTTTTTTTCTCCTTTTAGATTCCAATAAAAACAGCTTGCATTGGATGTGATCAGTCGTTTAATGACACATTGTTGCTGGTTAAATGTGCATATTGTTCAACCACATGGCGCCGTCTTTGAAATCAGGGTTGCTGAAGGATATGGTGCACGGTGGTCGAGTGATGGTAGTAAGGTATCTGCATCCATTTCTAACTGTGTTTTTATCTGTACTCTCAATCTAAGGTTTCACCATGGCCCTAGATTTTATGAGCTTAACAACAGTTGTATCGTTTACTTAAAACGCATTACATTAGCTTAAGCTTCTAGTTTTGAATTTTTGAGAAGCAATAAAATGATTGTGTTCCTCGTGGCATTTCAGTTTATTGGATTTCTAGAGCCATACATGGAGCACTCAAAGAGATGGATGCACTAAATAGGTTCCTCAGATGTTGCCTTTAGCATCCTTGATTCAGACAAGGCTTCGCGTTCTCAAGTACTATTCTCCGATCCCTGTCTTGATGAAAGTTTGAAACTTGTTCCTCTTTCTTTTCCACACTAAATTCGCGATGCACTTGGAAGTACATTCTAGCAATTGTTCATATGGATAGGACTATCGAGATCTCTCCAGCAACTGCGCCAGCCATAGGAATCATCCACATAATATCTCAGAATCACCATCACCTTTTCCGATTTCTTGCAACGATCAGATGCTGTTGTCGTCTTACAGCTCATTTGGATGTGCTTTTAAAATGATTGAAAGCGTTTTTGATGAAAATGTTTTTGGAACCAATCATTAGTAAGGAAAATCACTTAAAGTGTTTCATGAAAGAAGCACAGAACTCATGCTTCTTGCAGAAAGAACTTTAAGTGCTTTTGGAATCAAAAAACATTTTCTCTAAAAGCACTTTCAGTCATTTTAAAAGCACATCCAAACAAGTCCTTATTTTCCATGTATTTTTCTCTGGTGAATCCACTTTTATTACTTGCCTAGTTACCCTCTTCACTTGTTTCTGTAGTTTTCTACGTAAGCATGCTTCCACATTTTCATAGAATTATTAATTCGTCTATAGTATGCAACGCCGAAAAGAATGTTACGTGTGAAGAATATTTGTAATATTATTTATTTTATTTTTTTTGAGCAAGTGAAATCAATGAATCCTTTTGTCTAATACAATAATTTTGTACCTAACTAAGATTCATGTTCAAAATCCCTCCAACACTTACAGTGAGACGCATACAAAAAATGTGCCTATGACTTGTGAGATGGTGTTGGATAAAGAGAGACATCAAGCTTTTGTTCACTACTTCTCGTGAACTTCCTTTTTCAAGTTCTCATCGTTATCGTTTTCCGTGTAGCCATCCCATAGGTATAGAGATATCCTTTCAGATGTTGATAAGACTTAACTAACACAGGGAAAGTGGAACCAACTAGTAACGTGGTATGAGTGATATTTTTCTTTACTTGTGAGTGGGTGATTTCAAGTTCGACTCATATAGATGGTTAGAACGTTAGTGTTTGACTTGATTCAATTAACCTTCCCTTAGAGTAGGTGATCCTCCTCACTTGAGTAAAATGTCATTGTGCCAAAAAAACACGGTGAAAGTGGAGATCACGGAGTTCTTCAACCACTACTAAATACCAATCGGTTTTTAATAATTGTTTTAATTTTAATATGGTATCAGAACAAGGTATTCATGATAATTGATTTTGGCAACATATTTTAAAAATAAAATGACGTGGATATATAACTCAGATGCCCTTATTTTTGGGAACTTTAACGAAAAACTCCTGGTAAATCACATTTTTACATTAAAAAAATCAATCATGGTACTATTTACTTTACCCTTTATTTTGTCTTTTTTGTAAAAACTGAAAATTTTCAATTTTTTTTCATTAGTTTTCCTCTTATTTTTTTAATACTATTTTTATTTTTCTTTGATATTTGGTCCATTATACTTCAAAATTTGCAGGCCAGAAGTATATCTATATTATTATTAAAAAAACCCTCATTGTCAACTTTTTTTCCTAATTTGCCCTCACTTTTGATACATTATTGACAAAATGAGGGCAAAATAGTAATTTTGGACCTTTTAACAAAATGACAATCATATCCATATTTTTCTTATTTTACCCTTTTTTTATACTTATTTTTCCTATTTTACCCTCACTTTTAATACACAACATTTACATAATGAGGACAAAACAGTAATTACCTTTTTTCCTAATTTTCCCTCACTTTTGATACATAATATTGACAAAAAGGAGGGCAAAATAGTAATTTTGTACCTTTTGACAAAATGACAATCATATCCTTATTTTTCCAACTTGACCCTCACTTGTGATACATAATATTTACATAATAAAGACAAAACAGTAATTATGTAATATTAAAAAAAATATGTACTTATTAAGAAAAATTATTTGCATACACAAAGTATGTCATCTCCGCCAATAATAGTTAATAAAAGTTTAACACCGAAGATCGTGGGCCGTACATGACAACGACTCATGATTTCATCACCCAATTAAGATCTCTCTCTCTCTGTATATATGAAGTTGGGAGACACATGCAGACAAGGAAAGCTATGGAAAGCTGCAAAGGCATGGACCCCTTTAACGGAATCTCCATTAAAATCAGAAGACCATGACTAGACGAACAACTATTTTAATTATTTTTAGTTTATTTAATACTCTTGATTATGCTACTCAGTACTACGATTTGATAGTATTTCTCTTTACTTGAAAGTAAGAGGTCTTAGATTCGAATTTTGTAGATGACAAATTTGATACCAAATTAAGCTGCCTATTATGTGGCTTAGCCGAACTATCCTTCCTCTTAATGGAATTGAATAATTAGGGTTAGGGATATAGGAGATTGGGGACTACATTTCTGTAAGCATTCTATATAGTTAAACAATGCAAAAAGTTTAGGTTGGGGATAATATTGAACCACTTAGTACTACGGTTTAATAATATTTTTCTTACGAAATCACTTATAAGTAAAAAGTCGTAAATTCAAATTCTCGTTAAAAGTGTATTCGAATCAAATTATTATGATAAATCTATTGTAAGGCTTAATTCACTCTTTTTATTAGTGTAGATAGTATTGGACTGTATTAAAAAAAATAGAGCTTCTCAGTCTTGTCTTCTAGTCTAATCATTGGAGAAGAATAAGCTGCATAAGATACCTCTTAAATCTTGGTTTGTTTGGTTTCTTTACAAACTTGAAATGAAATACTGATTTTTGTGAAATTGAAAACTAGTTTGTTAACTACTTCTGTACTCTAGCTCGTAATTATTTTCAGTTTTTAGACCAAAAAGTGAAAGCTTCTTTGGTTTTAGTTTTCGAATTTTTTTTTTTAAATTGAAAATTAAAAGGGATTACTAAACGAGTTTTCTATATTTTAACAAACATACTAAAACTAAAATTTGAAAAAAAAAAAAAAAAAAAAAAGTTATCAAATGGGGTGTTTCGGAGCCTTGTCAGGGCAACTCCACCATGGGGGGAAGTGCTTTAAGAAAAAGAAGAGAAAAGCAACCAAAAATAGAAAAGTTACCTGGTGAGTATGAGTTAAGAGACTAGTAATCGTTGATTTTTAGGTTAGTATCACAGAAATTAAGAATTTGAACTTTTTTGAATGAAAATGATAATATATATTGATTGAAGAAAGGAACAAAACCTAGTGGGAGAAACTTTGACTTGTGTCATAAAGGATTATGCGAGTCGGACTACAATGACCAAAGCAACATACCATTTCCCTGCTCAGAGCAATTGAAAGGAGTCAGACCCCTAACTAAATGCCCCTCTTTCTTATGTTCACAAGCTAATAAAACTCAAATAAAGCATCCAAAAGAAAATGTAGAAGATCCTCGAACCACAGTCTCTTCACGTTAAGTGACATCCCGAACTACGGTTTGAACTTAAAACTTGTGCTGGGGACCTTTTGATCAAGTTGGGTTTGGGCCTAGGTGAAAACTCCTAGCTCCCCTTATTCGTTTCCATTGAAATAATTTGAAAGAATTAGCACGTCTTAGGAAGTATTCTAGTTGAATCAATGACTAATTAAAACGTGGTGTGGAAGCTAAATGCTTATTAGTTTAGGGTGAGAGAAAACCTGTGCATGCTTACATACTTTTGGTGCTCCCAAATAGCTCAGTGTCTTCCATAACGTAGCTTCACTTAGTCCTAATAAACTTCCATAACCATCCAAACCATGATATACTTGGCAAGCCCTAATAAGTGGCTTGTGCCCACTTTAGCATGCAACCTGGTTCGCGTGATTTATTTACAACGTTAATGTTGTAGCATGACTTGACATGGTAAATACATGCATGAACTGTGTAGGCTTGAGGTGGTTATACAAACATTCATTTTATAAATTATTATTTTATTGGCATGACATGCATCGTAAACTCACAAACCCCTCAATTTTATACTTTTGCATGAACATAAGCTTGGCTTGTGACGCTTTCATGATAGTCAGGCTACGAGATATTGTTGTGCTTGTAGGTGAAATTTTTGTGCCCTAACAACCTCTTTTTACATTTAAAGCAAGATATTAATAAATCAATAGCTAGTGATAGTCAGTATTAAAAATTTATAATATCATACTTTCCTCCAAAAATCAAACCCTAGCTGCAACCTCAGTCGTCATCAGCCTTTGCTCTGGCTTGGACTGGCAACAACCTCTTCTCTTCCTCCAAACTTTTTCCCCATCCTTTTAGCCCTTCCACATCCCCTTTCCGGCAATTCCCTTTACTCTCTCTTCCAACGTGCTACCCAGCACCTCCTTCGCCCTAAAGCCGAGATCTTCCTTCGTTCAAGGCATGTTCTTTGATTGGAGCTTGATTTAGGATTTTGGGTGGTTTTTTGTTGTTGGTAGGGTCTGATCTACCTCCATCTGCAGTGGCATTAACCTCACCTACTTGTTTTGTGGTTGTGCCACGTGATGCCCTCAAATCATATGGCTAAACCACTCACCACTTGTGTGCATTGATATGTCGGCTGACGGCCTTAGTGATCGAATTTGAAGGCTGCACTGCTCTCTGCATTGGGATCTGGCGCTTACACCGCCTTTAACAACCAGCTATGTTCGGTTTCGCCACTTTAGGTGTGGTATATGTGGCGGCTCTGTCGCGTCAAACTTCAAATTTGGTTGAGCGATGAGGTTGCAGGTAGTTGTGGCTTGATAAACTAACTGGTGGGTCCTTTCTCAGCATAGGGCTGTTTTGTTATTTTGTGGCCATGCTACAACGATGGCTAGATGTGTTCTTCGCCTGTGCGATGAGTTACGTCGTCTCATATACCAACGATGACTTTATATGGTCTTGATCTTCTGCGATGATTTTATGTGCCCTCTTTATTTGGCAATGTTTAATATGGTCTTGATCTTCTGCAATGATTTTATGTGCCCTCTTTATTTGGCAATGACATGTTGTATTTGCTAATATATATCTGGTGCGTCTATCATTTTATGGCAAATTAGTATTGGTGCCGTTTCTAGTCTTCGTACATATGGTAGTCGTTTAAAAGGTTAATGTAGTTGTTTGAGCAAGTTCACTTCAAATTATTTCTTGATCACTGAGGCATTGTAACCAATTGACATTTTTATATTTATGTTGACTGATCAATGAAATTTCAAACTATCATATTCTTGTAAAAAAATTATAATATCATACTATTATCTATACTAAGAAAACAGCCAATGTATTAAGAGAACTCCCTTTCCCACCATCTTTCATTTATATTTTTACATTTAAAATTGTGAACCACTTTTTGAAAACTTTTAATTGTTCTCTTAGTAACCTTTTTCCAAAAGAAAGAAAACTATTAAAACAATAATAATTAGCAATTATTATAAAATAAAGGAAAAATCTATCGACATTGATCACTCTGTTTTTATTCACTTTGCAATGAGTGTGTACTAATGTGTTTTTTGCTTACAGGCTCAACATGGTCTATCATCCATATCTCGATAGTATTTTCAATATTTTTAGAAGAAAGAGTTAGAGAGTGAAATATTATTGTTAAGAGAGGAGATCGTTAGGATCAAACTCGCACCATAATGCATAAACGTAATTGTTAAATGTAATAATTGTTAAGTGTAAGATTCTATCAGAATAGCAGCCTCGATAATACTATTTTTGAAGCTTTCCCCATATAACTAT